GGAAGAGGAGGCTCGATTAGGCTGGAATCTGGTTTTGACTCACTTCACACTCATTTCAAGAGCAATGTACCCACATAACACTCTTGCAATGGAACGCAATCAAACGCGGTAACATTGCATAATCAAAGGCGTAAGTATTTTAGGAGAGGATGCAGTTGTTAGGTTTCAAATGCACCTGTTTCACGCTTCACCTGCAGCCGCCTCACATCTCATCCGCAACCACTTACCTTAACTTATGAGCAAACATATAGACAAAACATAGGACATGCAACCAAAACATGAGATGCTTAACTGGACCAAATTGGACTATAAGAAGGAAGTAGGTTTGAAGCCCACCACCTTTCTTGCCCTCGTGTTTTTGGTCAATTATCTCCAACCATGGTGTTCTGCTCTGACGATGTCCGTCACATGACGAAGAAAAGTTCAGCAAGGGTTCAGCGGTGCGCCGAGGGCCGATTCGCACAAATATACAACCACAACTCCATGGCAACCCACACATCCTTCGGTGTAACTAACTTATGAATCCCTTCTGCTCGCCTCTTCTAACGAAATGAAAGACATTCCAACATCAATCTATAAAGGAATTCTTCGAATCCTAGTTTTATACATAAATACTGAACATCAGAGTGATAAATGCAACGTAGTAAACAGTGAAACTACCAACCTAGTTCATCTTCAGCCTCTGTAGAACTGGGTGAAGACAGAGGACGCAAAAGCTCAGAGATATTAAATCTCTTATTAACTTGTCCATCGCCGCCAAATTGAGCAACTAGATCAGTCAGTCGAGTCAGCTCGGATACAGCCACAGAAAGCTGCCGATGAAGGCGGAAACGTAATCGGCCTGCGGAAGAAAGCCATGCAGCTGAGAGGCGATTCCATCGGCTGCGGGTTTCCAGAAGATCAGACAGAAGGTCTTGTTTCTGGTGGCTAAGCTATATATAAGGATGCAGGAGTAAACACGAATAAATATGAAATAATAAGATGTGTTAAGTATGCACATTCGTGGTCGTTAACCTAAAAATACACAACAACATTAAATTTTGAAATTAAAAAACATACATACATATATATATATATATATATATATAAAGAATACGAAGAGGCGAATAAGGATTAGTAATTCGAAAAATCCACTCACGTATGAATTTAAAAAGCTTCAGTTTATAATATAAAAAAATTAATACAATTGGGAGTATGCAAACATGTAAAAATTATAATGTATGAAGAATCAAAGATAGAACTAACAATAAAAAAAGTGAAATTTATTGTAGATTCAAAGATTCACGAAGAACATTTGGTCAGTAAGCTTAGTTTTTGGAAGACACTGTCAGCCTACATAAAGATTTATTTTCCTTGTCGATGTGTAACTTTCAATGTTGTTAGTAAGATGAATCGCAATTAGCCAATTATGAAATTAATTGACAGGCGAGAATACAAATTTCGTAGGGCAGATCCCCAGTGATAGTGTTCAGTGTAGTTAACTTGACCTAATAAAATAGCATCTAAAAAACGTGCATAATTCTAACGAAATATAGCTTACGCCAAAATCATGCTTCACTCTGCATAGATTCATTGAATTAAAGTACTGAGAAAATAAATCTGCATTATGTGCCTATATATAACAGGAGCTGTGAGAACCAGGATAAAATCATCTAGAGCGGCCGTATATATTCGCAGCACTAGAGAGTTACATCTAGGTTCACATTCAAGATGTATCAAATAGTGAAAACGAATAAAACAACAAATATGGGGAAACAAATAGTTAAACCAAATTAATATTCATATTTATGCGATAAGCTAGTTTCCATGACCTCTTAGCTCGCCTAGTTGGGTCTGTATGATGCGAAAACATAGCGGTTAATTTCGTTATGCCTTAGATCAAATTTATTTTTTTTCAAATTATTTTAATATAAATACTTTACATAAGACATGAAATATAAAGCAGAAAAATAAAAACTATTCAAGAGAAAATAAGAAGACCAAAATGGTGTGGCATTTTGTATGGTCGCAGTCTACTTTAGCTTTAGAGACTTGGTTCTAACTCTTTTTCGCAACTTAATCGGGGCGTCAGGAAAACTTTGTGAAAAGTACCTAATCCTGTTTCCTTCGTAATATTATTTGTGATTTTAAGCATCGGACCAAAGGATTGGTACATTCCTAAACGTTTCGCCAGCATCGTCAGTGAGAGGTGCATTTATCAACGTAGAGTAATTAATCATCAAACTGACAAGTGAATGCAATCCCTCTGACCAATTTTCTGTTACATTGTTGGGGTATCACTTCTCGCCCTCATTTTTGTTCTACATTTTAGTGCTGCATCTCTTTTATTCAACCTCATTTAATATGGCTTATTTACATATTCACACAATCCTCTGCTCAAGTTTCCTCCAATTAAGCCCAACAATTTGTTGCTACAACTGCGTTGAGTGAAGCGTAAGCCTCTTCTCCATCGGTAACAGATACTGTTTGTATAGCTAGTGACTTCCATTCAGTCCCCCCTCTCCTACCCCGACTGTCAATCGGTCGCTACTACACATCAAAATCACTGTCAGACTGTTTAGAATCTGGTTGCCTAAGAGGCCTCGACTTCCGTCCCCAAGTGCACCATATTCGATGAAATATAGCAGATGGTTCCCATACTCATGTACATGACTATGCCAATGCCTGGGAATCCTTATCCCCCTAGGCTTCAGGCTCATGACTCGTTTATCCTCTTTCGTATCCCCACCTACATTATATTTCATTATATGGAGCACCGTGTCCGGCTTAATTCAAAACCGCTGTTGTGAAAATTCACTGCTTCCCTTTTCCCCTCTTAAATTGCGATAAGCTCACTCCCCTCGTCTTTCAAATTGACACTCCCATCTAATCCCAGGAAGGGAATCGAGGCCTCTTAGACAACCAGATTCTAAACAGTCAGACAGTGATTTTGATGTGTAGTAGCGACCGATTGACAATCGGGGTAGGAGAGGGGGGACTGAATGGAAGTCAGTAGCTATACAAACAGTATCTAGTACCGATGGAGAAGATGCTTAAGCTTCACTCAACGCAGTTGTAGCAACAAATTACTGGGCGTAATTGGAGGAAACTTGAGCACAGGATTGTGTGAATATGTAAATAAGCCATATTAAATGAGGTTGAATGAAAGAGATGCAGCACTGAAATGTAGAAAAATGAGGGTAGGAAGTGAGACCCCAACAATTTAACAGAAAATTGCTTAAGGAGATTGCCTTCACTTGTCCCTGCTGATGTTCCACAAGGTTTTCCTGACACTCCTACTAATTTGCAAAAGGGAGGTCGAACTAACATGAAAGCTATTCGAGTTTCAGTTATTTAGAATTGTGTGGGCTTCTATAAATGTGTGTGAGTATGCGACCTTCTACTCTATTCAAAATCAATCTTAATTTTCCTTAAATCCCTCCTTTATTTTCCAAAAAACTTCGGCTATTAGGTAACCTTTTTTTGATATGAACTCACCTGTGAAACAGATACATAGATTAATCTTACCAGAAGATAATGGCTGATCCCCATTGCTATGCATTTCCTTGTTTTTACTAAGGAGATCGGGTTGACATCCCACCCTCCTTAAGTTTATAGGGGAACGAGCTAAGCTTTCATCCATCAAAGGCCAAATATAATTCTAGTTAGATATCTGTGCTATAGAAACTCGAAGCTATACTAAGCCTGGAAGATTAGTTGGCTCTAGCTTACTTGTTATATAAAGTTTTTGACAGGATTGTAAGGCTTAGTAATCCAAGCAAAAGCATGACTGCGATACATAATTCCAAAGGTACACCTGGTTCAATCAATGACCCTAACAGATTTTAGAATGAATATGAATATAGTGGGAAGCATTATTTAGCCTTAAGTGGCTTAATAATTCCTCTATAACTATGTCAATATGGCATGCATAGTTCTTACCCAACTTTTACTTCGATAGCCTTACTTATCTTGAACTTAACATCAAAGCGTGATAATCGGCAAACCGAAGCGCCTAACACCCTTCTATCTAGTGTCTGGTTGCAATCACTTATGGTCACTAAAACCAGCAGGTTTCACAACCATTTTAGATTCAGCTAACATTTGACAAATAGGGAGATAGATCCCACCAACATAAGGACGACCATATGCACATGCAAACTTGCAACAGCCGAGTCTTGATAGGGAGTCGAATTCCTTTAAAAAGTGAACTTAACATAGAAAAATTTAAAATTCCTTAAGAAGTGTTTTTATCTCCCCCTTACACACCCCTTTACTTGATATTTACATCATTATTAAATATATTATTTGCAACTAAGTCCGAATAAATAAATGTTTCCGACTGTTTGAATTTAACTAAGAGGATTTATTTCTGCATGTCTCATACTTATAATAAATGACTTAGAAGTTCCAGCATCCGTCTTGTGAATATGGGTCATAAGAAAATTAATAAAATAATTAGCATATACTTGGTTTCTTGGAAGAATCCTTAAATAACTAAGAATATCCTAAAATAGCCATAACATCATAAGAAGATAAACAATTATCCTTTCCAATTCCATTCTGAACTTCATTCATCAGTTTAATCGAGAAAGGGCGAATAAAGCTTTTATACAAGAAAAAAGGCAGTATCGAAGCCTAGATACAAACGAAAATATGAATTCACTATGTGTGAGAAGGATAAAAAGTAAAAAAAACAAAACAAAGGAAAACGTATTTTTAATATTGTTAAAAGGATATATCTATGGGAATTGATAAACTTTACCTTACAACCAGACAATAGCCTTCGAAAAAATTTAGTGAATTTACAGGATGCGTAGTTTGTCACTATTCCTGACAGCAATCCATGATAAATGAAATATCTAAAATATTTATTTTCAAAAATAACCAAATTTTGCGAAAAAGGTTTAAAATTAAAATTCTAATTGTAGCTGCATAAAATTAGTCTGTGACTGGTCAGATAAATGTTAAATAAGGCCTTCTGGTTCAAGCTTACTTGACATAGGCGTTCCTTCAGCCCGGCTACTTCTTGATCCCGCTCTGCAAGGACACGTTGTATAGTCAGCAGAGCAGCCTCCTGTTGACATATTTTATCTTGATGCAGGTTTTTTAATTCAGCTATCTGGCGCTCTTTGACTTCAGCTCTTCGTGATTCAGATTCAAGAAGCTAAATTTAAAAGGGGAATGTAGAGAGAATCAATTTTATATAACTATCTTCTAAGGGTAAAATATAATTTCAGTTAAAGTTTATTTTAAATGAATCATAAAATCTAGATTATACAGGAAAGTTACTTAATTATAAATGATTTTACGCCTTAAAATTCGTATTCAGGTTTGCTGTTCTAATCTATGTCGATCCTACAGAGAAATTAAATTGCCAGTAACTATCTTAAATTACAATCAGAAGAGTTTATATGATATGTACAACCTGCTAAAATTACCTTTTTGGACTGTTCATAACCTTGTCTATACTGAGCAAGTTCTAGTCGTAATTGTTCCACAAGGTCCGGGGTAACTCGAGGTCCAACAGACGAGGGATCGTCTGACAGAAGTGTATGAAGACGCTGCAAAGTAACAAGGAACAATAGAAAAGATAAAAATTAAGGCGATTCTAAATAAAGGCAAACATATGGAACAACTTTTAGCCAGCTTTATTATTTCAGGAGTAATTAAAAATGAGGTAATTATTAAGACTTAATATGCATTGAGA